ACACTTACATAAGGGCAAATTCAGGACATCAACTCCAACATCAACACGTACATAAGGGCAAATTCAGGACATCAACTCCAACATCAACGACAACATGTACGGACATACCCAACACACATAGAGGCCACTGGCTGAAATAATATATATATATATATGCATCTCCATATGGACAAGGAATATTACGACCAGTACTGCGAGTGCTACTTTCAACAACAACAACTACTACCACTACCACTACCACTACCACTGATGCTGCTGCTGCTGCTGCTGCTGCTGCTGCTGCTACGCTACGGCGACGACGACGACGACGAGGAGGATCACCACCACTACTACGACGACGACGCCGCCGCTGCTGCTGCTGAAATGGGTGGTTGGGGTGGCCTGCAGATGTCTTATGTCAAGATTGTGTGTGGCGTTCTTTGCAGGGTGCGACCCATGGAATCGCTGATGTTCGTGGTGTTCGCGCATGGCATGGAGAGAAACAAAACTTGCGTGTTTCGGAACCAGCTTTGTGCTGGCCCAATCTTATCTTGCGGTTTCAGGTTGAACAGCTGGCTGCAGGCCGGGCATAGGTGCATTCCATGGCATGGGCATGGTTATGAGACGAGGACCCTTGCCTACGCGGTTTCGGAGCCAGATAATATTTAGTAGTGTGGCACCACTGTTCACATTCTATCACATTCTTACATATCATATTCACGAGCTTCACCTCATCGCCTCCATGAAGTGGCCTCGCAATGGGGGTCATTTGGTTCTCAAGGAGCTCATCCATTCTCACTTGGCAGTTTGTTGATCTTGAAGGATTGAACCATGCCAGCCGGGTAGTTCGTGAATTCGAACAAGGGATCTCTTACCGTTCTCAAACTTGAAGGTTCCACCATTGGCGTCGAATCCTGTCATCATGCCACAGCTGAACTGAGGAGCTTCCAGGGTACGACCGGTTCTTTTGTCACCCTTGCTCACCCCTGCTCCAAGCGTGCCTCGACAGCCCCTCATCTATTCCTACGTGTCAGGCTTGGATGCTACGGTGGCCACCCCCGTGGAAAGACGGTCAAAAGCCTGGGGCCTCATGACCGTTCTGCCACGATGCAGCGCAGACTAATTGGAAGCGTTTGAGGAAGAATGATGTGGACTGTTTCTTTTGATTTTTGGACTGGCCTGCAGCGCAGCACTGTGGGCGCCCTGGCCCCCAGGCCAACGAGCACAGCTAGAGTGTATGTACATGAGAGCTTACTTGATATTGGTAATTAATGTTGGATCTTGATTAGTAAAAGGTACCCCCCCTCCCTCAAACAAATGGGGGATCCTTTATAATAAACTACCACCAAAACAAACCTGGGTTCCTAGGAGGATTCTTTTTGTAATTTATTGCAGTATTCATTTTCCTTTCTGAAGTTCTTTGTCATTAGGTATTCTTTGCAATCGATTGATACTATACTATATAAAGGATTGATTAAGGAATTGGTGGCTTTGGGAAACTGTGAGTTTTGAAGAAGAACTTGAGAAACCTATACTTATCAGATCTTATCAATACTCTCAGCAAGCCAACCACTGGCTTAGTAGTAATTAGATACTATTTCGTTTTTTCTAACGGAAATATGCTTAACCCTAAATATTTTTGAGATAACAAAAAAGTTAGGATCCCCCCAAAAATTAGCATAATAGAGGACCCTTAAGACAAACAGGGTGTCAAGAATTATTTTTCAAACAGTTAGCAATATAGAGGGCCCTATTACTAATCAGCGTCCAACATTATGGAGGTCCATGCTAAGGAAAGCAGCCAAACAAATTATAGAAGATGAAAGAAGTGGGTGTGAGATGCTGTTGCAGGTGCAATGTCAAGTACATGACACAGACCCGAGTTTGGTCCCTAGAATCTTTGGGTCGGGCCTGTTTTTCTTTTTAATGTGTTTTTTACTTTCTTTGGAGGGCTTTGCATATTTCAAGCTTTGAGTAATTTGGATCAGTGGTTTGAGGCGCGGCCTCCCACTTTCGTGCTTTGGACGAACTCCACATATGGGAACTTCCCCGAGAACTACCTGCGACACATGCGGAATGGCATGCGCGATGAGTTCCGCATCAGCCGGACACTCGAACAGTGTAAGTAAGCGACCCGAAGAGCTGTGGTACTTCATATGTGTATATTATATATATATACACACATCTCTTTCTCTTTTTAGAATATATCTTCATATACTCAGCAGATGATCAGATGCTGTGCCTTAGTTTGCCGTTTGCTGTGAGGGAAGCTGCAGGCTATTCTCCAATACACAGGGGCGGATGATCGCCATGCCCATTGATAGCTGCAGAGCCAAATTCTCTTGTGCATCTCTTGGGAGTTCTTCAGGTGGTGTGCCGATCCACTTCATGATCCGCTCCACCTGTATGCCAAAACCACGAAAGAAGATGACCAAGCCCCTGGGAACTGCATTGAATTGTTCAAATCCACCTGCCAGGTGAGGGTTAGATTTTATCAGACCTGTCTGAGCTCCTCCTCCTCCTCCTCGTCCTCCTCAAGTGCGAGTGCTGGGTCACAGTGGCATCGGAGCTCAAAATAAAACCCTAGATCGCAGTGGGCGCCACCGGGTTTTGACCACGAGCGCTAGATCACAGCGGGCACCGCCGGAATTCAACCGTGAGGGCTGGATCACAGTGGGCGACACCTGCCCTCAACTTGACTCGCAGGAATGGCAAGGGGAAAGGTTGGCAAACCAGTGGTTCGAACAAGCGCATTAGCCCGTTACTGCAGTGGCGCTTTACGAGAAAAGGAGGGTCACAGCCTGTCCACTGTTCAACAGTTGAAATTCGGCAAGGCTTATGAAAGTTGGCTGCAGGTACGTGTGCACGACAGCTTGGATGGGTCTTCGTTGGCCCATGCCATCCAAGTGTCCATGGGCCCCCTGCTGAACTGTACATGGGTGAGTACGAGTTACATTAGTCGAATTAAACGTTAACAATGTGATCCGTCTCCTTTGGAACAGGAGGGGGCACACGCACTCAAGAGATTGCGTGCTGGCTCGATTGCGGCTTGCCACACGCCAACCTTTGCTTTAGCAATATGATATTAGGGGTGGTGGGGGGCTCCGGCTCCTGATTCGATGGTTTTAAGTTTGTTTTAAATGTGCTGCTGCTGCTGCTGCTGCTTGTTTCTTGCTGTACTGCTTGCCGCTTGCTGTACTGCTTGCTCCTTCCTGTACTGCTTGCTGCTGTGCTGCTTGTTGCTGGTTGCTTGCTGCTCTCGCTGGTGCTGGTTGCTGCTTGCTGCTATTGCTGCTGCTCGTTGCCGCTGGTTGCTGCTGCTGCTTCTGTTGTTGTTGTTGTTGTTGCTGCTGCTGCTGCTGCTCGTGCATTGCCTGTGTTGGGGTTTTCGGCGCGGGCACTGTTGGTGCTTTCTTTCTCTGCCCTCGACCATGACAAGTCCCCACCCTCTTTCAATGTCGTTTGCGCAAACCCCCCGGTACTGAACGAAAACCAAGGGTTGTGGAGGCCAAACTTGTGTGAGCTTTGGTGCTTTGCTGCTGCTGCTGCTGCTGTTGCAGCCGCTGCTGCTGCTGCCACTGCTGCTGCTACTGCTGCTTTCTGCTTTGCTGTGCTGCAGCTGCTGCTTTGCTGTCGCGGCCGCTGCTGCCGCTGCCGCCGCCGCCGCCGCTGCTGCTGCTGCTCTTTCGCTGCTGCTGGTGCTGGCGCTACCTTTTTGCTTTGCTGCTGCTGCTGCTTTGCTGGTTTGCTGCTGCTGGCTGCTTGCTCCTGCTCAGAATCTTCCAACCTCTCCCTTTCGTCCACCTCCGCCGCCTCAAGTGCAGAGGGTGCAATATTGTAAGCCTGGTACTTTCAAGAAATGTGTTCGGCGCTGCCCTGGGTACATAGATTTTGTTTTGAGTTTTGACATGTTTGTCAACAGTCAGGATATTGACTCTGCAGGTTTTTGGTTAGGGGGTTTGGTTGTGTATTCCATTTTAAGCCTGGGATATTGATATTGTAAGGGGTTCTTGTCACAATCAACACACCCAGCCTCGAGCCGAATGCCAGAACAAAAGCCTGATAGGATGCAACAATACATATGCCACACAGAATGCCAGAATTTATGTCGGATAGAATGCCTGAGTATATGCCAGGTAGAAAGCCAGAATGTAAGCTGGATTGAATGCGTAAGAATATAATATATAAATTTATGCTAGTGCGTATGCAAGATAGACACCTTGTTGGTGATGTTGATGCAATATATACAGCTGTCGGTTTTCAACAGTGTATAACACCATGGTGTGGATCACTCGAAAGTTTGTCTCAAACTTCCAACATTTGTGCTGTGAGTCTTTGGCTTGATGTTCTTCTTGTGCTGAGGGCGGAAGTGCTGAAATGGAAGCGAATGGGGCCTAAACAGGCTAGTTGGGTTCAATGTGGCACCTGTTAGCCAACCGGGGATGAAAGGAACAATGGAGACTGGAGCGGGTGTGCAGGAAATGACAAAGTGTCTCACATTTCAAAATCTCGGAGGCAAAAGTTGCAATGAACCTCAACAAGAAGAGGCAAGGCAGCTATCCAACTAAGACCTGACAGACTTGAAAATATTATGTCACCAGTCATTCATTGATCCAGGATGCCACGGCCATTGAAGCAAATTGATTGAAAACGGAACTGTCAAATTGATTGTGACAGAAGAAAAAATATACAATATATGCATATGGGTGTGTGTGTGTGTTGAAATCTTGTTTAAGTAGCATGACAAACAGAATTGCCCGTGAACCGCAAGACGATATTGTAGAATTTCAGGCTGTGTGTGGCGCCGTTGTAGGACATGTGAGCGACGCGGGCACTCTTGGTTGCACTTGCTTGGCACACTTGCGCAAGATTCTTTCAGGATACTCTTGTGGTCTTATGCTGCCGTGCAACTCTTATGGGCCACTGCTCGAGGATTTTTTTTGGACTGTTGCTTGGGACACTGCTGCGTTGTGACTTATAGGCAAATAAGCCTAAGCGTTTGAAGGCCATACTGTAGAACTGGGCGAAGGGAACAATCTTTTCCAAAGGGCTGGGGGCGCTTTTCAAGGAACCGTTTCATATCTTTTGCCTCCCGATGTGGGTGCCCGTGTCGGACGATGATGTGCGGTTGAAAGCAATTGCTCAGGCTGCTACAGCGCATCCTGCGCCACATGTTGATCGAACAATCCAGAAACCACGGGGGAGCAGACATACAGGTTGCGCGCCGTGATAGGACCAGATAGGGCTCTATGAACGCAATACAAACATAGGAGAACGCTTACGCACGCACGCTTACATACATTGTGACATTGCGTTGCTCCCCACATGCCAGAAATCTCCAGAACAAGCGTTGCGCGCACGATTTCTTCCAATGGAAACGATACGAACTGAAAGCAGCCCCGAAATAGAAAAGCCTTTCCGTTTCAGTGCCGCAACCGGGTCTCCAAAAACGAATCATAAGGTTTTTGGATTTCTAGGTCTCGAAACAAAGCGTTTTGGTAGGACCGGCCCGGACCGGCCCCGCAACTTTTCACTCTGATGTACCCTGTGCTACCTGCTAGCTTTCGCTGATCTCGGCAACGCCCGCAACTTTATCAACACGAAGTCTTAACAACATGAACTTCTGCATATCCAACTCTTGGCATCAACACCACCAACGTCAACATCACCAACATCACCGCATCACGTTCAACACTACCGACTCTTAACATCATCAAGTCCAACGTCGCCAAGTTAAACATCAATAGAAAAAGCTTACTACAAGAGTGGGCCACCAGAGTTCTGGATTTAGGGCATTTGCTTTTTGGAAAGCTTGGCAGAGATCCTATTTAAAGGCAAGCTCCACGCACGGCTTACTGTGGAGGCAGTTGGGTGTGCTGCGATCAAATCTGTGTGAAGCATTTGTTGCATCTGTGGCGGTCAAGAGCTCTTTTTAGTCCCCAAGTGATCAGATTGGTTTATTTTTGTGTGCTAGGAGCCAGAACCTTGAGAAACCTGTCAAAGCACCTCTACAGCAAGGTGTGATCAAAACTGCCCCTGCTAAGCCCACTCTGAGGCCAGTGGATCCTGGTTCAAATCAGTCTTCAAGTCTCATAGCCGGTCATGACTTAGCAGAACGGCAACAGCGGTCTCAGATATCAACTCTTATGGGTTTTTGAGGATGGCGACGAACCGGCAATAGGAAATTGTCTGGCCAGGTCACTTGTACACAGAACTTGTTCCAACGCACAACCAAGCCGGCTGGCGTACATTGCAGGCGCACGGGTGGTTGCTTGCCCACTCTCTGCAGTGGTTTAGGCAGCTGCCTGCGCCTAAAATCCTAAAGCAGGCCCAATTGGTCACAGACGGCGCCGAGCAGCGCAGCCCAAAAAAGAAGTCGAAGGAGGCGACGTTGAAGAAGAGCCAGCAAAATTGGACCCATAATTTCCGGCCTGTCGACCCCACCAAGGTTGGCAGGCCATGGGATCTTAAAAAACTGGCAGCGAAAGAGAACCAATGCCTGAAAAGAAAACCTGGAGGGCTCTGTGTCCCATGGCACAGTTCCTTCCTCGATTAGTAATTGAGCTCCGCGGGCGCTTGTCAAGGTGCTGTTCTTGTCCTGTCATAGAACATTCCCACGCGCAACCTTCAAGAGCTACCTGTGCCATCGGCTGATCATTTCCAATGGTGGAGAAGGCTTTGCAGTTGCACTGGACGAAACATTTTGGTGACTCAGAGGAAGAAATCGAGAAGCGTCAAGGGACGCAGCGCATAGTTTTGGGGGCGTCGAACTCAATGTCGCCGCGAGATGCCGCAAGACAACAACCAGGAAGAGTTTTCTTGCGACGTGTGGCAAAACGAAAGCCTGAAACGCTTCGGCGTGTTGATGAGCGCACGGCGTTGCCAGGAACGGAGGTGTGGACAGACGATTGTTCCTCACACAGCTTTTTGACAGCTGCAGGCTGCAGACATATTTCTGTAAACCACTGAGCTGGAGAGGTATTGTTTTGAAGAACAGGGTGCCAACGGCGTGGAAGGGCGCGACGTAAACTACGCTTCTTGAAGCACACGTACGCTCTCACGCCATCGAAGCGAAAATACGGCCTCCTTCTGGCTGAGTTCGTGCGGCGTGCAGCCACTTTGGGTAGCCACACTATTCCTGATAGATCGTGGCAACAGGACTTTTCGAGCTGACCTGGGTTTCGAAGAACTTATTCCGAAGACTGTGCTGTGCGGCAATCTGGGTTTGACCCTGCATTGAGTCGTGAGGATGTATGCACCACACAATTCATACTATTCCAAGTGTGCTTTCCGACCCTGCTGCTCCAGAAAGCGACGCAGCGCAGGCAGGAGCACTCCTGCTGTGGAGTGGGGGCCCAGATCCAGGCCCAGCTTGGGAATCGGGCGGGGTCGAGGACGAGGTGGTTTGCGCAGAGGCAGCGCAAAGAAGTGTGGTCAAACCTTCAAAGTTCCAGGGTCTGCATTGATTGGAAAGAGAAGGCGTGGAGGATGACAATTCTGTGTGGAACCAGTCTTTCGGCTGGATTTTTCATTGTTCTGTGATTTGTCGTTTTTTGAACATATGCTTTTGCTTGTGCTTTTGCTTGCGCTTCTGCTGTTGCTTTTGCTTCTGCTTTTGCTTCTGCTCTTGCTTCTGCTTCTGCTACTGCTTTTGTTTCTGCTTTTGCTTTTGCCTTTGCTCCTGCTTTGGCTTTTGCTTCTGCTTGTGCTTTTGATCCTGCTTCTGCTTTTGCATTTGTCCTTGCTTTTGCTTCAGCTTTGTTTCCTGCTCTGCTTCCAGTAGAGAACCTGTGCAGCTTCAAGTGGCCAGCTTCCAAAACTGCGCTGATTGCGGCGGCCAGGGTCTAACGAGCGTGTGTTGCTGCAAGCGGCCAGCTTCTAATTCTACGCTGCTTGCTGGAAAGACCCTGTGCTGCTGCAAGTGGCTCCATTCCAGCGCAGCACACCTTCTATGAGCCGCCAAGGATCAATTTTAGAGCAAGAAGTTAAGTATGCGCCAACGTAGCAGACCGGGCAACCCCAGTGTAAAATTTAGAGGAAGAAGGTGCCGTTGCAACGTAGCAGATTTTTTGTGAGCCAATGGGTGGTAAAATTTAGAGGAGGAAGGTGCCGTTGCATCGTAAAGACCTTTTGCAAGCCACTGAGGGAGGAGGAAGGCGCTGTCCCACCATAGCAGACCTTTTGTGAGTCATGCGAGGGCAAAATTTGGAGGAGGAGGCGCAGTTCCAACGTAGCACACCCTTCGTGAGCCACCCCAGGGTATAAATTCGAGAAAGAAGAAGGAGCCATTCCCATGCAGCAGGCCTTTTGTGAAACGCCCGAGACTTATTTCTAGAGAAGGAAGGGTCCACACCAACGTTGCAGACCTTTTATGAGCCATGCAACCCAAGGTAGCAGACATGTTCTGAGCGACTCGAAATTGAAATATAAACAAGGAAGAAGGCATTCCAATGTAGCGTAGCTTTGGAAAAGCCAACGATAGAGTTTAGAGGAGGCAACGTCCATTCCAAAATAGCAGACCTTTTGTGAGCCACTCTAGGGTGAAATTTAGAAGAGGAAGGACACATTCTAATGTTGCAAACCTGTTGTGCACCACCCGAAAAATATATCAACTATGATGTAGCGCGAGAAGAAAAAGAAAGAGAGAGAGAGATGAACGTAAAGAGAAGAGGAAAGTGGAAGGAGGAACATGGAGGAACTATAATAAGGATTTCTTTGCGGCACTTGTTTCGGTCTTCTTTGGGTTTGGTTTCCCTATTCTAATATTTACCCTCGGGTAGCTCACAATAGGTCTACTACGTTTGGCCCCCAATTTTTTTTTACCCCGTTGGCTCTGCGACATTGTTATTGGTACGCCCTTTAAATTTTACTTTGGAAAGCCGAGAATTTCTTAATAGAAAAATGAAAGCAAAAAACACATACAAAGAAACCTTAAAAACAAGAAACCGATCCTAAAGGAAACTAACTTTTATATTTTAGTGTTGGAACCGTAGATGGATATATACATATATATCCTATAAATATGTTATTTTTAATTTACGTATTTGGGAAATTATTATGTGTAGGAAATACTTGGAATTATAATGGGACACATATTTAGCATTATGAATATTAATTTTATATTAATGGAATGATATAGATTATAGAAATATAGGTATGTTATTAATAGTGTTATATATATTGTATCAAATGTAACATAATTTTTGAAAATAATTGATAAATTGATAAAAAATAAATTGATAAATATTTTAAAAATATATCTATGTTTTTTTGATTTGAATTTATTTAGTTTCTTTTGGGTCTTTATGGATTTGATTTTTTGATGGTGATTTTTTTTTTTTTTTAATTGATTTGATAAAAATAATATAACAATAAACTAATAAATTTAGGTTTGTCTTTTGTTTAGCTTCTTGGGTCCATTTTTATGGGTTTGATTTTTTTTTTATTTTGATTTTGGTTGGTTTCTTAAAATTATTGTTTAGTTTTTCTTGGGCCTTTTTTTATGGGTTAGAATTTGTATTTTCTTTTTCGTTTGGGTTTTGAATTTAATTTAAAAAATATTTCTATATTATTTTTGAATTGAATTTAATTGAATTTTAAAATAAATATATATATTTTAAAATTCATTGTAGTTAAATTTTAAGTTAA